CCTCGGCTCCCTCTCCTGATGATTAGACCTGACACCGTGTCTGCTGATCCTCCGGGATCTGAAGACACGTCCTGCAATTATGATGGGAGAGAAGCATCGGAGAAGCAGGGGAGTGGGGCTCTTCTTTTGGGGTCATTTTGGGCTGAATTGGGGGTACAACCAGGAGAAGAGGGTCGGGATTTGCAAAGCCAGGCATGCACGCGGGATAAACTCATCCCAATTCTCCCGATCCTTCTGCCGAGTTCTTCTTTTGAAGAAAAAACAGGAACCATCGCTCCTTACCCTTTCGTAGACCACTCTGTGTTTCTTTTTCCTTCAAATACTTGCATTTTTCCCCCTCCTTGGCGGAATTTATGCGTGAAATCTCCCGTTGTCTCCGTCCTCCTGCAGCGGCACCACCACCCGTCGCTTCGTGGGCCACACCAAGGACGTCCTGAGCGTTGCCTTCTCCTCCGACAACCGCCAGATCGTTTCGGGCTCCCGGGACAAGACCATCAAGCTCTGGAACACCTTGGGCGTCTGCAAGTACACGGTGCAGGTGAGCCGGGGAAGGTGGGTTTCCAAATCACACCTCCCTGAGAAAAGGACTTGGGTTTTAGGTCCGCTCCCACCGCTTTTGGACGGGAATTTGGGTCTCCCGGCCCTGTCCTAGTGATTAGAAGTGAGACGTTGCCTGCGGGTCTTTCCCTGGGCGGGGGGTGTCTAAGGACAAGTCCTGCAATTATGAGGGATGGGGGACGAAGCGGGAGGAAAGCTGGGAAAGCTGCGGAGCGACGGGATGCGGCAGGTCTGATCTTGCAGCGCCCCGTGGACGGGGCGGAGAAGACCCGGCCGCGTTTCCTCGCCGTGAACCCGGCGTCGTTCCTCTTCCCCAGGACGAGAGTCATTCGGAGTGGGTCTCGTGCGTGCGTTTCTCCCCGAACAGCAGCAATCCCATCATCGTCTCCTGCGGCTGGGATAAACTGGTGAAGGTGAGGTGGGATCGGCTTCCCCCCGATCCGCAATGGTGGTGGGAGGATTGGAGCAGCCAGAGTGCTCCGGGGAAGGTTTTTTTTTTTTTGCCCCATATCCCCAGGATTGGGGTGCAGTAGCAGCGTTTAACCCCCTTTTCTTCTGCCCCCGTGTTTTTTTCCCCATCCAGGTTTGGAATTTGGCTAACTGCAAGCTGAAGACTAACCACATCGGGCACACGGGCTACCTGAACACGGTGACCGTCTCCCCCGACGGCTCCCTCTGTGCCTCCGGTGGCAAGGTACGTGTGACGGGGGCGAAGGCTGAGGCCCCGAGACGAGATCTTGGCGTCCTACCAGCAGCTCTGACCCATTTCTGTGTCTCCCACCCTGAGAATGGGCTCCACATCTTGGTCACGGCTTGAGTGGGCTGGTAACAGCCCAAAGATCTGGCCTGACTTGATGGTCCTAGCAGCAGATGTCAACCAAGGAGGGAAGACCACGGCAAAGATGCTCACCCAGAGCTCGTTAGCTCTTTTATTTCAGCCCTCGATGTGGGGTTTTTTTTTTTTTTGAATTTTCCTGCTGCGACCTTTAGCTTTTCTGTATCCGTGCTGGCTTGCGGCAAAGTGCTCCAGTTTAACCGTGGTCAGGGCGGAAAAAGGCCTCCTCGGGGCGGAAAAAGGCCTCCTCGGGGCGGAAAAAGGCCTCCTCGGGGCGGAAAAAGGCCTCCTCGGGGCAGGTGACGAGTGTTGGGGTTTTCTCTGAGTCCCTCTTCTGTCCCGCAGGACGGCCAGGCCATGCTGTGGGACCTGAATGAAGGCAAACACCTCTACACCTTGGACGGAGGAGACATCATCAACGCCCTGTGCTTCAGCCCCAACCGCTACTGGCTCTGTGCTGCCACCGGACCCAGCATCAAGATTTGGGTATGTCACCGCTCGGCCCTCAGCCCCTTTCTGTCCCCATCTGGGCAGGGTTCCTCCAGAAGACTCAATTTCTTCAGTTTTTGGGTTTGGAGTCACCTTCATGGTCGAGATCCTCACTTTGGATCACAGATTTTGGAGGAGGAGCTCTCCTGGAGGAGTGTCCCGGTGCCCGTGGCCTCGTCCCCTGGCCGAGGAGGGTTGCGGTGGCCGTAGGGCAGAGCCACCGCGCTGTGATGAAACATTTCAATGCCATCTGACTGCATCTCCGTGCGGAAATCCAGAGGCTGTTTCTGAGCGACCCTCTGCTCCCTCACGGCGTTCCGGAGTTGGGTTGGATTCGGCCATGGGAGTCTTCCCTGTAGGACTTCTCGTTCCTTCATGTTCTTCTTTCTCCTGCAGGACCTGGAAGGCAAAATCATCGTGGATGAGCTGAAGCAGGAGGTGATCAGCACCAGCAGCAAAGCTGAACCACCCCAGTGCACTTCCCTGGCCTGGTCCGCAGACGGGCAGGTAAAAACCATCCCCTTCTCCCTGCCCTGGCATCCCAGCCCTGGGGGACGAGGATTTTGGGGACCCTCCTGCTGCTCTTGGAGCACAGGGACCGTGAAGACACTCGTGCTCTGCTCCTGGAGCCATCTCTGCCAGCAAGGGCAGGAACTTCCTTGGGTCCCTTCCTTCCCTGGGTCCCTTCTCAACCTTCGAGCTCTTCTCCTTGATCTCCCCAACGTCTGGGGGTGATGTTGGTCCCTCTCTGCTTTGGGCTTTGCCCTCCAAGGACCATAGTCCCTTGTCCTCGTGTCCCGAGGTCCCACCTTGCTGGCTGTCCAACCCTTCCCATGATCCGATTCCGTTTCTCTCCGTAGACCCTGTTTGCTGGCTACACAGATAACCTCGTCCGGGTGTGGCAAGTCACCATCGGGACCAGATGAGGATGCGGTAGCAAGAAATCGTAAATTTTGTGTACAAAAAAAATCAATAAAAAGAGTGCTCTATCGAGCTCTTGGCCACCTCGTGTCCACTGTTGGGTCATCCCACAACCTTGGAGGTTCATGGAGGATCTGGGGTTGGAGCTTTTCTCCGGCTGGACACGGGTGCCAGATCAGGAACCTTAAGGGAGAGGGAAAAACCCAACATCCCCGACAAGATGTCCGTAAGAAATTGTCCCCACACCTTCAAGGTTGGGGACATCATGGTGGGACAGGATGGGGTGACCAGAAGAACTTTGAGAGGCAATCACCTCGTGAGTTAAAACCCGCGATGCGGAAAAATAATAGCGGAGGGAAATAATTACGTGATTGCAGGCAGGGTGGTAGGACTTGGGAGACGTTCTCTGTCCTCCTGGCTAACGAGGGACTCGGTGTTTCTTCTCCCACGTGCGGTGTCACTGCCAAAGACCTGCAGACCTGGGAAAACAAACACAATTCCCGAGAAAACCCAGAAAGTGGATAAATTTGAGAAGCAGCGGTGGTTACAAAAGCGAGGCCTTCGGGGAATGTTGGGAGCGGCTGTTAACGAAGGAGAGGTTTTAACGTGGAACTTCTCAACCCAGCAGCCTCCAGGCACCGAGTCCGTGCACAAAATGAGCCATTTTTCTACAGATTTAGGACTTCCCCGCCCCTTTCCTGGCTGGCAGACCCACAAGCCACCCGTGTCACTGAGCCAGAAGGGACTTTGGTCCCTCGGTGACGCCAGCTCAGGCGTCGGATGTTGCTCGTTAGTCGGCTTCAGGAAGGGATATGGACACACGGCTCTGGGCCTGGCCTAATCTAATTAGGAAGGATTAGGTCAAGATTAACAAGGCGAGATCTATTTACCAGGAGGCTCAGGGGTGATTCCGTAATGGCAAGGTCAGGCAGGCTGGGGGCGAGCTGGACCCTGATTTTGGTGCACAATTTAAGCCAGACTCGTTTGGAAATGGCTCCCAGATCTTTCTCCGGGATCTCAATAAACCAGAGACTGGCCTAATCTAATTAGGAAGGATTAGGTCAAGATTAACAAGGCGAGATCTATTTACCAGGAGGCTCAGGGGTGATTCCGTAATGGCAAGGTCAGGCAGGCTGGGGGCGAGCTGGACCCTGATTTTGGTGCACAATTTAAGCCAGACTCGTTTGGAAATGGCTCCCAGATCTTTCTCCGGGATCTCAATAAACCAGAGACTCGGGTTTACAAC